AAAGAAATTTCTTCTTAAGAACGGTCGGTGAAAGAGGCCCGACGTTGAGGTCTGCGTGGGACTGTTTTCCAGTCCCGCTCCCGCCCGCTCCAGTAGGGCTGGGCGATTTGTGCAAAATCTCTAATCGCGATTTTTCCGACTGCAATTTAAAACACGTTTTAAACTGAGATTCAGGCTGATTTTATTTTGGCCAATAAGACCAGAACGTCCACCCTTTTTGGCTTGAGGCTCGACCCCTGAACGTACACAACACATAGGGGGTGGTTGCCTCTGACTGGTCTAACTCACCTACAGGTAGTTCACAAACTCTTATTAGGTTCAGTTTCCCCTCTTAAAACTTAAAAACAACGTTTCTGCTAATGTACACACTTACAAAAGATGGCTCTTCAAGGGTTCTTTAGTAAAGACAAAGGTTCTATGTGGAACCATAAGGACTCAGCAACCATAACCAAGCATAAAAAGTTCTCTGCGTGGTGAAATGGCTCTTCAGATTGACGGACGATGTGTTGTTTTTGAAAAGAGTTCTTTATAGGACCAAAATGTGCTTCTATTGTTATAAGCTCGACAACAACAAGCAACAAAGTAACGATACCAGAACCTTTTTTGATGCTGTACAGAACTACATACAACACATTCTCCAATCTGAAGAACCATTGCACCATGCAAAGAACTTTTTATGCATGCAAATGGGTCTGAGTGTTCACGGTTCTACACAGAATGACTGTCTTTACTAAAGAACCACCTTTTTTAAGAACCTTGAAGAGCTATATTTTTAAGCGTGTAGGTTATAATTTGAAAAACTCTTGCAATTGGAAACTGAGCTGTCTTAAATTGCGATTTCGATATAAAAACGATTCATCTTTCAGCCCTGCGCTCCAGCAAAATTTCAACCCGCTCCCAAAGAAAGTCGGAATCATTTATCCCGCTCCCACCCGCAACCGAAACGTTTTCTCCTGCTCCCACAGTCCCGTCAAAGCGAACTAACATCCAATATCCGACAGAGTCTATTCACAAAAACATTGCTGTGCACGTTTTCCTCTCTCTCGCTTTCTCTCTTGCATGCTTTCTCTCTCTTTTCCGTTCCATTTTATCCATCTTTCGCCTCATAAGTGGGCCGAAGTGTCGTGTTTTACTGTTTTCCTTCTATATTGTTTATATATGCGATTTAGTGATCGCTCCACTTTATTTAGGCTATTCATTAATTTGCGGGATTTCTCTTCATGCATGCTTTGTCCCGCTCCCGCCTGCAGTGGGCTGGTTTCCCGCCCGCTCCCGCACCGCAAGATATTGTGTCTAGTCCCGCAGGAATGCAGACCTCTGGCCCAAAGTCCTGGGGTACCGTTTTGCCTTATAACACTGTGTCTACTTTTCGGCCAGGAATAGACTGAAAATTTCATGTTTTAGGCCAAAACATTTATTACACTATTATAAAACAATCATAAAACAGTGTCTCAGACATCAGGCAGTATATTCATAACCATTTCATGCAGTAGTTTTAGATCTTCAGACGTCTGCTTCCTTTCAAGTGACTACAAACAAATGTAAGCCAAAAACTACTACTTTGTTTTATCTACCAAACTTATGTCTATCAGCCTGTAAAATGGTTGCAAAAGCTATGCAAGAGCTACGACTTTAGTGATGCCTTACATCATTCTACGTTGTCTTACGTTGTAAGTGGGGAAATTTAACCTAAAACCACAGAGTTTGGGAACTGCTCGTAGCCGAGTTTGACCAAACAAAAGCAACCTTGTACTGTGTCAACACAACCACAGCTAACTGGCAGTCTGGCACAAGCCAATCACAGAAGACAGGCGGGTCTTCTTAGCCAAAATAACAGGCCTAGAAAATATTCGCAATTTAAATCTCAGTCACAATATTGATCAGAACAATCGCACTTAGATACTCTCCCCAAACTCGTTCAGCCCTTGCCAAGACTAGAGTTTAATTTCATAACACCAAAAATATAGAATTAATCAGGTTTAAAACAGAGATGTACTACTTCAAGGGACTTCAGACACAGTGCGCGGGTCCTGTAGACTAGTTGGAGTGGTACAGTTCTTGGCACAGGTACCAGCAATACAATGGTGTCAGAAGTGGGCGCAGACATGGCACAATGTCATATCACGATGCGATAAGAATTTTTTTACGATATGCGATATGTCACGATATTTCTTCTGACATCTTATAAGTTAGAAAAGACAAAGTCCAGTTATTTGAATTCAACGTTTTGCACACCATGCCGCACTGAATCTGACTGAACAGGACTAATTGTGCTCTCCTTGTAATCAAACACGTAATTGACAAGTGTTTCTAAGTACTTAGGATTTCCAAGATATGCTCAGAAAAGCATACAATGTGACATATTTTAATGTAGTTTATTGTCATAATGATAAATACTGTCGTGTTGACCAGCTCTATGTGGTATAATTCAGTGGGCAGATCGACTGTCGTAATTCTAGCATTCAGCCACGTTTTACGCTGGTTTGGTAAACAACAGGAATGTGGCAGCTCTGCGTCGACATCTTCAAAAGAACAAGACAGAACTCACGTCATCCCAAATTTTAGCTGGAACGCTCGGCCCAGTGGAGATGTTATGAGGCTACCTTTATCTAGCACTTATAAGGAGAATATCATAGGGCAGATGCAGACACCTCCGCTCAAGCTTACACAGAGTAAACCACCAAATTAACAACATGGAACGGACGCATTCAACACTGCTCAAAGCTTGTGTTGCCACATTAAATGTAAAAACAACCAGAACAGTTTGCTTCAGCTCAACGCGTCTGACAGAGTCAATCAGAGCGGTCTGATGTGAAACGGATGGTTCACTGGTGACTCGGGTTTCTTTACAGTGGTGGTGATGGGAACCACCATGTCTACAACACAAATATAGCCATTTTATTTACTACACAAAACACCGGTGAACCTAAACGAGTCTTCTGTGCTTTTACATGGAACGATGATGGTAAAAAATGAGGCACAAATCTGATAAGAAAAAGTTTTCTGAGGACTTCTTCGCCTGAAAACGGCCAACATGTACCCCTCCACCAAAAATCAATAAAAAAAAGTGAAAAACTCTTGTAAAACAAAGCCTCAGACACGCATTCATAACCATTTCACACAATATCTTTCTTGTGAAAGAGCTTTTGGAGGCATTGAAGGCTCAGAACATCTCATCACGCAAACGACCCTGACTCTGAGCTCCCCCAGAACGAGATATTTCACACCAAACCACTCTGGATGACGTTTAATTACGATTTAATTACTCAGAAATTTGGAGAAAGCAGTGGAATTCCTCATTAAGCTAACGTTGGGAGTCTATCACGCCAAACTACAAGTACTAGTTTGGCTATCACTGCGTCTCCTCCAGCTTAGATCAGCTGCGACCAGACTGGCATCACTCCTGGGAAAGATCGGAGATTATCCCAAACGCTGAAAACCGGCCTTGTTTTGCTGAACGAGCGACAACAGCCCCGCGGTGACGTCATGCTGGGTAATCCACCTGAGCTTCCCTACTCCAGACTCTAAGCGTACAGGTAGGCCTGACCAGCTCCAGCCTCTTACGGCTGATCTCACCGCTTAGTAAATCTGGTTTAGCGCCCAGGGCGAGCCCCAGCGCTCGACCTCTGACGATCCCCGGGCGAATAAGGACAACCTTTGGTTCCCTGAGCTCTGTTTGGACCCCATGATCATCCACGAGGGGAGAAAAGGGAATGTGTGAATTTGTACCCCCTTTTCTGCATCGTGATCCTGCTGACCTCGAGCCTCAAGCCCCTGACGGACTCGATCCCATCCCGAGCGAGGGCTGCTGCCAACTGTACATCTCGCCTGCAAGACGCCCACACTGTGCGAAAAAAAAGGAAAAAAGAAGGGAAAGCCATCCGCGCAGTACGAGGTGCCTGTAAGAGCAGCCCAAAACAATGTAAACAAGCCAGAATGCAGCGCTGCAGGCCTTCCCCGTCCTCCACACACCAGCCCAGCAGTGAAACACACACACATCCCCAACACCATGGAGAAAAGGCAGGGAAGGTGAACTGAGACAACATTCAACCATCACACCAGCTGCCTCCAACCCAGTGAATAAGCCCATACTGCGGTTTACCCCTGCTGAACCAGGAGCTGACAAGCTAACTCAAGCTCCTCCAGCCTCTCTCCAGCCAGCCTGACCCCATCTACCCCCCTCATTTCAGCTCTTTTACAGCCCACGGCTCTAATACGTGTCCTTAGTTGGGTCTTCTCCCATTTTAAAGCCTGAGATGAAGAGTTAACGCTGGCTAGTTTCTTGCTAAACACTGGCCCAGGCTCCCCCAGCAAGCCTCAACACACTTCACGCCGTTTTCTGCCGCTATTTCTCAAAAAAAACACCTTCTTCACCGCTAAAGGGAACCATATTAACCAGTAAAAGTCGACTTTTCACGGTGGAAGAGGCAGAAAAGCCCGCAGAGAGCCAGTTAGCCGCACTGAGCTAGGCTAGCTGGCGAGCTACACAACACAGACACACACCAGCGTGTATTCCTGTCTTCGTCGGGTCTTTCCATCGACTTCTCCAGGACTAGATACGCTGACGTAAAAGATCAAACGGACGACATCGTTTTCTCCCAGCTCGGTAAAGGTTTTTGCTTGTTTTGGTTAGAGAAGGAAACGGAAATAGCGTTAGTGGTCCCCGAATTGTCACAACGGCCCGGTCATTTCTCATTTTTCAAGCGGTACGTCCCCACAAAGCGGGGAATGCGCAGCGCGCACACACACACGTACAAACCAAGGCCCCGAGCTCGGGACTCGGAGGGAGATACGAGGCTGAGGTTGGCTTCCTATTCGCCAGCTTCGGGGGCGAATTCTCCCGTTCCACCTTAAACGGTGCAGCAGTTACAGTCTGGAGCCAGAGGCGCCCGAATGTAACCGCTGCATCATTTAAGGTGGAACGGAAAAATTCTGAACCGAAGCTGGGGAAAGAGAAGCCGACTTAAGCGCCTGGCAGCGCCGCGGCGAGCGCCGCTTACCTTCGCCTTGGTGACGACGTGCGTGGCCAGCTTGACCACGGCGAAGTTCCCCTTGCCGATGGTCCGCTCGAGCTCGTAGTAGCCCACTCGGGCCGGGGGCGGCCTGCCGGCCGACGGGTGGCCCGCTCCGGCCATGCAGGGGCCCGGCGCCACCCGGGCCTGGTGCTCGACGCCGGACGCGGTCTGCGCTCGGTGCGGGGCGCCCATGGCCGCGGTGGCCGGCCGGGCGGAGTGCGGGATCCCGGCCGCAGCGGAGCCAGCAGCGCCTCCGCTTGACACGGCCGCCATCTTCTCGCCTCTCTGCGGGGGGAACAACAAGCAGCGCTTTGCGCAGCGCCGCGGCCACGCCCACCGCCACTGCGTCACTACGCGTAGACACGCCCCCAACCCCCTCCTCAACATCACCGCCCCGCCCACCTCCCCGCATAGCGATGGGAAAGAATCGTTCTTTGGAACCGAGTCTTTAGAACAACTCGGAGCCGCAACTGAACCGAGCTTTGGGTGTTTTGGTGTTTTAACTCAGCTGGCAGCTCAGTCGAGCTTCATCTCAAACTTACACAACATTAATGTCTGTATTTGAGGCTGAAGGATCAATAATAAACATCTTTAAAAATGATTACAGATCGCGTTTAGCAATTTGGTTCCAACAGCATGTAGTTTGAAGGGTTGTAATGAAATTAAGTTTAAATTTTCACAAATTTCCTCCATAAAAACGCACTATTACAACATATTTAGTCTTACATACTGCTGTCAGATTATTGTTGTTTTTATTACTATTATTACTATTATTATTGTTATTATTATTATTATTATCGTTGTTGTTGTTGTCATTATTATTATTATTATTGAATTTTGTGTTTGTAATTTTACAATGTAAATAAAATGTATTGTTGTTTGTATTTTTTGTTGTTATTAATATCAAATCATTAGTATTATTATATGTCCGTGTTTGTGAATCATATTTTAGTTGCTCTGTATTACTTTTAGTTTGAGAAAAGCATGGTTTGAGTCAAACTAATTCTTCTTATTAAACTAATTATTATTATAGTAATTGTCACTATCATCATCATTATTATTATTATTATTATTATTATTATTATTATTAGCGTTATGTTATATGTGTACGTATCATACTGTAGCCGGCTTCCTCCGCGTGTCGTCTGTTTGTTGAATCGGTTCGAACGATTCATTTGAACACCGACGGCTCGAAAGAGTCGGTTCGCGAACACTGAACCGAACAGCGCCCTCTCTAGGATGTTGCCGTGGCAACCGCGAGCGTAACGATGACCTCATCCGCCGCCTCGAAACGCGTACGCCGGTCGCCATGGCAACCGCGGAGCGGACTTGTGAGTAGGTGGCGCATGAATTTCAGACTCTGCGGTGAAACCATTTTAACATCTGCGGCGCTCACGTTAGAAACCCGCCACCCTTTCAGCCGCGGGGGTCGGTGTTCGACCCCAGAGGCGCAGCAGCCCGGCGCACTGTGTGTTTCATGCCGGCCCTGCTCCGAAAACGGCTAGGATGAAGAACCATTGCCATGACAACAAGAAAGTCCTTGCATCCAGAAAGACTACAACCACACACACACACACACACACAGCAGCTTGTATTCCTTGCTTTGTGGGGTGTTTACATGTTGTGCTATGTGACTCTAACTGTCTTGTATTCAATCCAACCCTGACCTGAACCTCAGCAGCCAAAAGCTCTGACCTCTTCTGTCTTTTTTTCTTACAATAGTTTCAGTTTTGGTGAAAAAGTGCTAAAAATTAGCATTTTTCCTCAAGAAGAGCATCCCTGCAACATCATCTGGGGACATTTGGTCCCCACAAAGACCCAAATACAGACACACACACATTCACCATGCTTGTGAATGTCATGTCATGACCACACTGTACGTCATCGGTGTTGCGTCAATCCAATCGATGCATGATGAAAGCTAAATCAGCAGGCGGGGAACTTGGCCATCGAGATGTGGATCATCCACTGCTGCCCTCAGCGACCCTACTGTGGCCTTGGACGCAGTGCTTATAGCACACAGCGGTTTCTAGCTGTGGGCCGAAGGTAAACGCTAGGACAGTAGAGTGAAGGTTATAGAGCATTGCAGTGGTCACCAGCCCTGCTGCCGGAGATCTCACCTTCCAGACCAACTTTAATCAACCCCACCTGAGCAGTCTGGGTATTGCCTTCACAGTCCTTAATAAGATAGATCAGCCATGTTGGATTTGGATTGGAATCTACCTAGTCATCAGTAGTTCTCTTTGGAGGTTCTGGATGGTGTAGTAGTAGTCAGTGGTTCTGTATGGTCTCAGCTGTTCATGGTTCCTTAAGATGATGGTTTGGTATGGTGATAGTGACTGGTGGTTCTGTATGGCAGTCATGGCTGTGGTTCCTTATGTTGGTCGTGGTTGGTAGTAGTGAATGGTGGTAGTAGTTGGCGATGGTAGTTGGTGGTTTCTGTATGGTGCTAAGTGTTGGTGGTCTGGTAGCAATAGCAGTTGATGGCTCAGTATGGTGATAAGGCTCGGTGGTCTGGTAGTGATGATAGTTGGTGGTTCGGTGTGGTGGGAAGGGTTGGTGGCTCTGTATTTTGGTAAGAATTGGTGCTCTGGTAGCCATGATAGTTGGTGGCTCTGTATGGTGGGAAGAGCTGGTGGTCTGGTAGTGATAGTAGTTGCTGGTTCTGTATGGTGAAAGGGTTGGTGGTCTGGTAGTGACGGTAGCTGGTAGTTGTGACCGGTGGAAGTAGTTGGTGGTCTGAAAGTGATGGTAGTTGGCGGTTCCGTATGGTGGGAAGGGATTGTGGTTTGAAAGCAATGGTAGTTGGTGGTTCTGTATTGTGGTAAGGGTTGGTGGTCTGGTAGCGATGGTAGTTGGTGGTTCTGTATGGTGGTAAGGGTTGGTGGTCTGGTAGCGATGGTAGTTGGTGGTTCAGTATGGTGGGAAGGGTTGGTGGTCTTGTATTGATGGTAGTTGGTGGTTCTGTATGGTGGGAAGGGTTGGTGGTCTAGTAGCGATGGTAGTTGGTGGTTCTGTATGGTGGTAAGGGTTGGTGGTCTGGTAGCGATGGTAGTTGGTGGTTCAGTATGGTGGTAAGGATTGGTGGTCTTTTATTGATGGTAGTTGATGGTTCAGTATGGTGATAATGGTTGGTGATTCTATAATGTGATAATAGTTGATAATAGCAGACATTGCTGGTGGTTGTGTTTGGTGGTAATGGCTGGTGGTTCTGTATGGTGGTAGTGGCTGGTGGTTCTGTATAGCGGCAATGGCTGGTGATTCTTTATGGTGGTAGTGGCTGGTGGTTCTGTATGGTGGTAGTGGCTGGTTTTTCTATATGGTGGTAGTGGCTAGTGGTTCTGTATGGTGGCAGTGGCTGGTGGTTCTGTATGGTGGCAGTGGCTGGTGGTTCTGTGTGGTGGTAGTGGCTGGTTTTTCTATATGGTGGTAGTGGCTGGTTTTTCTATATGTTGGTAGTGGCTGGTGGTTCTGTGTGGTGGTAGTGGCTGGTGGTTCTATATGGTGGTAGTGGCTGGTGGTTCTGTATGGTGGTAGTGGCTGGTGGTTCTGTAAGGTGGTAGTGGCTGGTGGTTCTGTATGGCGGTAGAAGCTGGTTTTTCTATATGTTGGGGGTGGTGGCTGGTGGTTCTGTGTGGTGGTAGTGGCTGGTGGATCTGTATGGTGGTAGTGGCTGATGGTTCTGTATGGTGTAGTGGCTGGTGGTTCTATATGGTAGTAGAGGCTGGTTTTTCTATATGGTGGTAGAGGCTGGTTTTTCTATATGGTGGTAGTGGCTGGTGGTTCTGTATGGTGGTAGTAGCTGGTGGTTCTGTATGGTGGTAGTGGCTGGTGGTTCTGTATGGTGGTAGTGGCTGGTGGTTCTATATGGTGGTAGTGGCTGGTGGTTCTGTATGGTGGTAGTGGCTGGTGGTTCTGTGTGGTGGTAGTGGCTGGTGGTTCTATATGGTGGTAGTGGCTGGTGGTTCTGTATGGTGGTAGTGGCTGGTGGTTCTGTGTGGTGGTAGTGGCTGGTTTTTCTATATGGTGGTAGTGGCTGGTGGTTCTGTATGGTGGTAGTGGCTGGTGGTTCTGTGTGGTGGTAGTGGCTGGTGGTTCTGTATGGTGGTAGTGGCTGGTTTTTCTATATGGTGGTAGAGGCTGGTTTTTCTATATGTTGATAGTGGCTGGTGGTTCTGTGTGGTGGTAGTGGCTGGTGGTTCTATATGGTGGTAGTGGCTAGTGGTTCTGTATGGTGGTAGTGGCTGGTGGTTCTGTATGGTAGTAGAGGCTGGTTTTTCTATATGGTGGTAGAGGCTGGTTTTTCTATATGGTGGTAGTGGCTGGTGGTTCTGTATGGTGGTAGTAGCTGGTGGTTCTGTATGGTGGTAGTGGCTGGTGGTTCTATATGGTGGTAGTGGCTGGTGGTTCTGTATGGTGGTAGTGGCTGGTGGTTCTGTGTGGTGGTAGTGGCTGGTGGTTCTGTATGGTGGTAGTGGCTGGTGGTTCTGTATGGTGGTAGTGGCTGGTGGTTCTGTGTGGTGGTAGTGGCTGGTGGTTCTGTATGGTGGTAGTGGCTGGTTTTTCTATATGGTGGTAGAGGCTGGTTTTTCTATATGTTGATAGTGGCTGGTGGTTCTGTGTGGTGGTAGTGGCTGGTGGTTCTATATGGTGGTAGTGGCTAGTGGTTCTGTATGGTGGTAGTGGCTGGTGGTTCTGTATGGTGGTAGAGGCTGGTTTTTCTATATGGTGGTAGTGGCTGGTGGTTCTGTATGGTGGTAGTAGCTGGTGGTTCTGTATGGTGGTAGTGGCTGGTGGTTCTGTATGGTGGTAGTGGCTGGTGGTTCTATATGGCGGTAGAGGCTGGTGGTTCTATATGGTAGTAGAGGCTGGTTTTTCTATATGGTGGTAGTGGCTGGTGGTTCTGTATGGTAGTAGAGGCTGGTTTTTCTATATGGTGGTAGAGGCTGGTTTTTCTATATGGTGGTAGTGGCTGGTGGTTCTGTATGGTGGTAGTAGCTGGTGGTTCTGTATGGTGGTAGTGGCTGGTGGTTCTGTATGGTGGTAGTGGCTGGTGGTTCTATATGGTGGTAGTGGCTGGTGGTTCTGTATGGTGGTAGTGGCTGGTGGTTCTGTATGGTGGTAGTGGCTGGTGGTTCTGTGTGGTGGTAGTGGCTGGTGGTTCTGTGTGGTGGTAGTGGCTGGTGGTTCTGTATGGTGGTAGTGGCTGGTGGTTCTGTGTGGTGGTAGTGGCTGGTGGTTCTGTATGGTGGTAGTGGCTGGTTTTTCTATATGGTGGTAGAGGCTGGTTTTTCTATATGTTGATAGTGGCTGGTGGTTCTGTGTGGTGGTAGTGGCTGGTGGTTCTATATGGTGGTAGTGGCTAGTGGTTCTGTATGGTGGTAGTGGCTGGTGGTTCTGTATGGTGGTAGAGGCTGGTTTTTCTATATGGTGGTAGTGGCTGGTGGTTCTGTATGGTGGTAGTAGCTGGTGGTTCTGTATGGTGGTAGTGGCTGGTGGTTCTGTATGGTGGTAGTGGCTGGTGGTTCTATATGGCGGTAGAGGCTGGTGGTTCTATATGGTAGTAGAGGCTGGTTTTTCTATATGGTGGTAGTGGCTGGTGGTTCTGTATGGTGGCAGTGGCTGGTGGTTCTGTGTGGTGGTAGTGGCTGGTGGTTCTATATGGTAGTAGTGGCTGGTGGTTCTGTATGGTAGTAGAGGCTGGTTTTTCTATATGGTGGTAGAGGCTGGTTTTTCTATATGGTGGTAGTGGCTGGTGGTTCTGTATGGTGGTAGTGGCTGGTGGTCTGTATGGTGGTAGTGGCTGGTGGTTCTGTATGGTGGTAGTGGCTGGTGGATCTGTATGGTGGTAGTGGCTGGTGGTTCTGTATGGTGGTAGTGGCTGGTGGATCTGTATGGTGGTAGTGGCTGGTGGTTCTGTATGGTGGTAGTGGGTGGTAGTGGCTGGTGGATCTGTATGGTGGTAGTGGCTGGTGGTTCTGTATGGTGGCAGTGGCTGGTGGTTCTGTGTGGTGGTAGTGGCTGGTGGTTCTATATGGTAGTAGTGGCTGGTGGTTCTGTATGGTAGTAGAGGCTGGTTTTTCTATATGGTGGTAGAGGCTGGTTTTTCTATATGGTGGTAGTGGCTGGTGGTTCTGTATGGTGGTAGTGGCTGGTGGATCTGTATGGTGGTAGTGGCTGGTGGTTCTGTATGGTGGTAGTGGCTGGTGGATCTGTATGGTGGTAGTGGCTGGTGGTTCTGTATGGTGGTAGTGGCTGGTGGATCTGTATGGTGGTAGTGGCTGGTGGTTCTGTATGGTGGTAGTGGGTGGTAGTGGCTGGTGGATCTGTATGGTGGTAGTGGCTGGTGGTTCTGTATGGTGGTAGTGGCTGGTGGTTCTGTATGGTGGTAGTGGCTGGTGGTTGTGGCTGGTGGTTCTGTATGGTGGTAGTGGCTGGTGGTTCTGTATGGTGGTAGTGGCTGGTGGTTCTGTATGGTGGTAGTGGGTGGTAGTGCTGGTGGATCTGTATGGTGGTAGTGGCTGGTGGTTCTGTATGGTGGTAGTGGCTGGTGGATCTGTATGGTGGTAGTGGCTGGTGGTTCTGTATGGTGGTAGTAGCTGGTGGTTCTGTATGGTGGTAGTGGCTGGTGGTTCTGTATGGTGGTAGTGGCTGGTGGTTCCTGGTTGATGATTGTGAATGTTGGTAGTAGTTGTGGTTCTTCAGCAGTTGTAGTGCGTCATCCTGTTATTAAAGTCAACCTGAAGTCAAAGAGGACTGGTTATTTCGTGTCACTGGTCGTATTTATCATATCATATTATTTAAAAGACATGAATCTTCTTTTCCAATGATCTAACATCAAAGTCTAATGACCTTCAACCGCCCCAAAGACGCCCTCTGACTGTTGATGACGTCACCGTGCACCAACGAGAGGGGAAATACATATTAACCAATAATATCAATTAACAGTAATGTGTTTTACCTCCCAGCACCTATCAGAACCTCAGAGACGCTCCCTGATACCCTGTTTTATTGCATAGGGAACATTAAGGGAACGTTTTTCGAACGTTTTTCAATTGTCGCTGTAAATGAGGTTGAGGTGATGTTCGGGGGGCACTCTCAGAATTCCTAAGAAAAGAATTCTGGGAGCGTCAAGAAAACTGGACAGACTCCTGTCAAGGGCGACATTCCAATGCAGCAACCAAACGTTGGTGGAACGTTCTGAGAACATTCTGAGAACGTTTTGAGGGTGTCTCTTTGTTAGGTGCTTGCAGTGTTCATGTGCAGCTGCTGAATCACTGAAATACAGTTCATATTCAATGCAAATGTTAGTCATCAGCCGTCATTTACACACAAACACTAATTTACTGCAGTAAAAGTAGAACTAAGCAGTAAAATAAGGCAAAAAATGATCATTAAAACAAATCAAAGCAATCAAATAAAGCTATTAAGCAGATTAGTAATTAAATAAATAAATAAATAAATAAATTAGCAGCAGCAAAAAATAAATAAATAAAAATAAAAATTATTTATATTTAATAATTTAGTAATATTTAAATTTAAAATTTATTTCGTGCGACATTTTATTGTTAGTAATGAATAATAAGAAATACAAATAATAAAATAAGTCAATAAATACCCAAAATGAACAAATAAAGGCTAAATAATAATTGAAAAAACAGTTTTGTTATTTTTAACAATTACAACACATCACTACTGCACTAAATGGGTGCAATAAAACAAACAAACAAACAAACAAACAAATGTATTTATGTAATTAATATTATATTTTTGTAACGATATTTAATAATTCATTACAATTACAAAGAACATCACTTCTACACAAAAATGGGTGAATAACAGCACCAAAATAATCTTAAAAGTAAATAAATAAATAAATAAAAATAAATAAATAAATAAATATCAGTAGTACCATATTTTAATAATATTTTTAATTTATTCATTCATCATCTAAAATAACACAGTTAATTCAGACGGTGCTGCTGAGCTCCAGATAAGAGCTTTGATAAGAAAGTATTGATCTTCTTATTGTGTACTATTTTAGGAAGGGATGTAATAAACGCTCTATTTATTATTATTTATTATTACAAATTATTATTTAATTTAATTTGAAAAAAAGCGTTTTTTTGTGAATAAAATGAAATAAAATAAGCAGGAAGTCCCCACAAAGACGCAGTGCTGGGGTTTCCGTCAGGCCGGGTCCCCACAAAGCGCTAAAAACACTCGAGCACGCGTACGTACGCCTGACGTCAGTGGAAGTGGGCGGGGCGTGCCGCGCCTGCGCACGCGGAAGTGTACGTGCATTACGCGGTTCTCGTCTCGAGGCTGAGCTGCGCGAGAACAGTGTTTATTTTTGCAGTTTTTGGGCCGAACCGGTCTGTAAATCATCAACACGGGCAGAATCGGACTGAGAGAGACCCTCAGCGCGTGGACAGGGGGGCGCAGAGCAGAGAAAAGGCGGGAAAAGGAGCTGTAGGTGGGGTCCGCGTGCCTTGTTGTTGCACTGAGCGCGAGACCTGTGAAATAGAGCTGCAGTGTTGCAGTGTCAGAGCAACAGAGCCTCTCAGGTACCGAGCTTTCTGTGTTTTCTGCTGCCGTAAACCCACAAATACGGATAATGCATGCATTTAATGCAGCTGTGTGCGTGCATGTTTCACTGCAGTCTGTCATGAACACTGCACCGGACCTGACACAGCTTATATACTCATATAACCTCAGTTTATAGATTATTTAACATAAACACTGTACCAGACCTGACACATCTTATATACTCCTATAACCTCAGTTTATAGATTGTTTAACATGAACACTGTACCAGATTTCATCCATCTTATATACTCATATAACCTCAGTTTATAGATTATTTAACATGAACACTGCACCGGACCTGACACAGTTTATATACTCATATAACCTCAGTTTATAGATTACTTAACATGAACACTGCACCAGACCTGACACAGCTTATATACTCATATAACCTCAGTTTATAAATTACTTAACATGAACACTGTACCAGACCTGACACAGTTTATGTACTCCTATAACCTCAGTTTATAGATTATTTAACATGAACCCTGTACCAGACCTGACACAGCTTATATACTCCTATAACCTCATTTTATAGATTATTTAATATGCGCACTGTATCAGATTTGTCTCAGTTTATATACTCATATAACCTCAGTTTATATATTATTTAACATGAACACTGCACCAGACCTGACACAGCTTATATACTCATATAACCTCAGTTTATATATTATTTAACATGCACACTGCACCAGACCTGACGCAGCTTATATACTCATATAACCTCAGTTTATAGATTATTTAACATGAGCACTGCACCAGACCTGACACAGCTTATATACTCATATAATCTCAGTTTATAGATTATTTAACATGAACACTGCACCAGACCTGACACAGCTTATATACTCATATAACCTCAGTTTATAGATTATTTAACATGAACACTGTACCAGACCTGACACAGTTTATAAACTCATATAATCTCAGTTTATAGATTGTTTAAAATGCACACTGTACCAGACCTGACACAGCTTATATACTCCTATAACCTCAGTTTATAGATTATTTAATATGCGCACTGTATCAGATTTGTCTCAGTTTATATACTCATATAACCTCAGTTTATATATTATTTAACATGAACACTGCACCAGACCTGACACAGCTTATATACTCCTATAACCTCAGTTTATATATTATTTAACATGCACACTGCACCAGACCTGACACAGCTTATATACTCATATAACCTCAGTTTATATATTATTTAACATGAACACTGCACCAGACCTGACACAGCTTATATACTCATATAACCTCAGTTTATAGATTATTTAACATGAACACTGTACCAGACCTGACACAGTTTATATACTCATATAATCTCAGTTTATAGATTATTTAAAATGCACACTGTACCAGACCTGACACAGCTTATATACTCATATAACCTCAGTTTATAGATTATTTAACACGCACACTGCACCAGACCTGACATATCTTATATACTCATATAACCTCAGTTTATAGATTATTTAACATGCACACTGTACCAGACCTGACACAGCTTATATACTCATATAATCTCAGTTTATAGATTGTTTAATATGAACACCGTACCAGATTTCATCCATCTTATATACTCATATAACCTCAGTTTATAGATTATTTAACATGAACACTGTACCAGACCTGATACAGCTTATATACTCATATAACCTCGATTTATAGATTATTTAATATGCACACCGTATCAGATTTGCCTCAGTTTATATACTCATATAATCTCAGTTTATAGATTACTTAACATGCACACTGCACCAGACCCAACACAGCTTATATACTCCTATAACCTCAGTTTATATATTATTTAACATGAACACTGTACCAGACCTGACACAGTTTATATACTCATATAACCTCGGTTTATATATTATTTAACATGCACACTGCACCAGACCTGACACAGCTTATATACTCATATAACCTCAGTTTATAGATTATTTAACATGCACACTGCACCAGACCTGACACATCTTATATACTCATATAACCTCAGTTTATGGATTATTTAACATGCACACTGTACCAGATTTGTCTCAGTTTATATACTCATATAATCTCAGTTTATAGATTATATAACATGCACACGTTACCAGACCTGACACAGCTTACATACTCATATAACCTCAGTTTATAGTTTAATTAACGTGCACACTGCACCAGACCTGACACAGCCTATATACTCATATACCCTCAGTTTATAGATTATTTAACATGCACACTGTACCAGATATCATACAGTTTGTATACTCATATAATCTCAGTTTATAGATTATTTAACATGCACACAGCACCAGATTTGACACACCTTATATACTCATATAATCCCAATTTATAGATTAGTTTTGCTGTGTTTCATGTACATATATAATCTCAGGTTATCGACTGTTTTATCATGCACACTGTACCAAATTTGACACAGTTTATATGCTCATATAATCTCAGTTTATAGATTATTTGATCATGCATGTTGTACCAGATTTGTAAGTTTATATACACATATAATCTCAGTTTATAGATTATTTAACATGCACACTGTTCCAGATTTGACAGTTTATGTACTCATATAACCTCAGTTTATATATTATTTTTTGCTTTATCTTATATACACATATAATCTCAGTTTATAGTTTATTTTATCATGCACAATGTATCAGATTTGACACAGTTTATGTGCTCATATAACCTCAGTTTATAGATTAGTTATCTTATATGTGCATATAATCTCAGTGTATAGATTGTTTTATCATTCACATGATACCAGATTTGTCTCAGTTTATATACGCATATAATCTCAGTTTATAGATTGGTTTATTATGTGTGCCGTAAAAATTTGTCACAGTATATATACTCATGTAATCTCAGTTTATAGATTAGTTTTGCTGTGTTTTATGTACATATATAATCTCAGGTTATCGACTGTTTCATCATGCACACTGTACCAGATTTAACAAAGTTTATATACTCATATAATGTCAGGTTATAGATTATTTTATCATGCACACGGTACCAGATTTGACACAGTTTATATACTCATATAATCTCAGTCTATAGATTATTTTTTCATGCACACTGTACCAGATTTGTCACAGTTTATATGCTCATGTAATCTCAATTTATAGATTAGTTTTCCTGTGTTTTATGTACGCAAATAATCTCACGTTATCGACTGTTTTATCATGCACACTCTACCAGATTTATCACAGATTATATACGCATATAATCTCAGTCTGTATATTTTTTTTTCATGCACACTATACCAGATTTGTCATAGTTCATATATAAATATAATCTCAGTTTATAGATTATTTTTTCACGCACACTGTACCAGATTTGTCACCGCTTATATACTCATATAATCTCATATAAAGCTCATCCTGGTTTATGGTTGTATCTTTTTGCATGTGTATAATCTTAGTTTATAGATTAATTTCATCGACATTGTACCAGATTTGCTGTAGCTCAGCCTGGTTGCCTGTTTTACTGAGTTAGTGATTGTTTTAGCTGTTGCACTTTACGTATGCATCATCAACCTCATTTAACCCGGTTGTGTTAATGTTGTTGTTGCTGGTCAGGATGAGCCACGAGGGCATGAACCCCGCCGCGAGGGCCGAGCCCGTGGAAGACGTGCAGGGTGACGCACGCTGGATGTCACAGGTGAGCTGAAGACCACACATGCAGAGTTATTTCAGAATCAGAATCGCTTCATTTCACTGGCGTTCGTTTACTCTGTGCTGATGCTGCGAATGAGATGATCGTCTCTGCTGTGAATAACAGATCATTAAGTGGCTTGAGGTAATCGAATCCTTAAACAGAAAAAAAGAATAAGAAAGAATAATGAAGAGCTGATATGAATTGGGTTAAAGAGATGTGTGAATATCTGTACA